TCTTCTTTGCCTTTTTGCTTATTCATTACTTTCTGCGTCACCAAAGATGAGGTAAATGAAGATGATAAGGAAAGAGGAAACTAAGGATTGGGATTTGAAATACAACAATTGGTTTCCTCCCTGGCCAGTGTGGCTCAGTTGGAGCATCATTCTCTACAAGAGAAGGTGGTGGATTTGATTCCTAGTCAGAGCACATGCCCAATTTGTGGGTTCGATCCCTGGTCGGGCACATGTGGGAGGCAACTGATCAATGTTTTTCACATCAATGTTTCTCTTTCTCTCTCTCTGAAGTCAATAAAAGGTTGGCTTTCAGGCCCAGCTCTGTGAGTTTTATTTATTTAATATTTATGTATGTATGTACATATTATTTTTAACTACCTTTCTGGGAGACAAGTCAACTAGGCGTTCTGAGTCTTAGTGCTCTTACCTGAAGAATTGGAATAATGATATCCTCCCATATAAGGTTTGTGGTATTGGATCCAATGGAATATAACATGGAAAGGAACATAGTGAAATAAATCAATACACTGATTAGTTGTTATGATTATTATAAGCTCCAGAGGTGAAATGAGGACTGTCCACACTCCTGACCCTTTGGATAGAGCAGGTGGTTGCCTGAGGACATAAAATCAAGTAACAGACTTAAAAACATTTCCTGCTTCCTTTCCCAGCCTGACTGAGGGCTTCTTTTCCTAATCTCTTCATGCTTCTCCTTGTGAAAATTTGAACAAATTTTCACAGCAGCATCTATATATATAAAAGCCTAATTGACCGAATGACCGTTTGACTGGTCCCTATGACACGCACTGACCACCAGGGGACAGATGCTCAATGCACAGGACTGGGGTCTCTCCTGTCTGGATTGGGCCTGCAGGGATGGGGCCTGTGGAGATTGGACCTGCAGGGATCGGGCCAAAACCAGCTATTCGAACATCCACCGAGGGGTCCCAGATTGTGAGAGGATGCAGGCCAGGCCAAGGGACCCCAACCTGTGCACCAGGCCTCTGGTTGTACATAATAGCCAATCATATAAATAACTCAAATGTCCATCAATTGATGAATGGATAAACAATGTGTGGTATATCCACTCAATGGAATATCTTCTATACTAATAAAAGGGTAATATGCTAATTAGACCGGGAGACCTTCTGGGAGACATTCTGGATGTCCTTCTGGACAAAGTCATGGTGGCAAGGCTGAGGCAGAGACAGTTAGGGCAATCAGTCCAGGAGGGGAGGGCAGTTGGGGGTGAGCAGGCCGGCAGGCAGGTGAGCGGTTAGGAGCCAGTGGTCCGAGATTGCAAGAGGGATGTCCGACTGCCGGTTTAGGAATCAGGCCTAAACTGGCAGTTGGACATCCCCCGAAGGATTCCAGATTGGAGAGGGTGCAGGCTGGGCTGAGGGACACCCCCACCCACTGCACAAATTTCGTGCACCAGGCCACTAGTCCTATATAATAAAAGGGTAATATGCAAATTGTCCCCTCTACCAGGAGTTCGACCAGGGGGCGGGGCCCGCAGGCCAACTGCCCATAGCCCCTCCCCCCAGCCGGCCCTGCCCATAATCCCCCACCTGTGCATGAATTCGTGCAGGCCTCTAGTTTGACAATAAAAAAAGTGCTGATATAATGCTACAACATGGAGGCCCTTGAAAACATTATGCTAAGTGAAAGGAGTTAGACACAAAAGGACACATACCATTTATATGGAACTTTCAGATCAGGTGAATCTTTAGAGATAAAAAGTGGTTGCCTGTGGCAGTAGGAGGGTAATGGAGAGTGATTGCTAATGGGTAATAGAATTTCTTTTTGGAATGGTGAAAGTGTTCTAAACTTGATTGAGGTGATGATTTACATAACTGTGGATATACTTAAAACCATCGAAATATCACATTAAATTGATGGAGTGTGTGGCATGTGAA